ACGAAGAGGACGAGGTCAGACAATTATTGGCCTTTATTACGACGGCCGAACTACGCCGTGGGAGGGAGACATCGTGCCCTTGTTTACAGGAATAGCAGACAAATATCGCTCGTACCTTCAGTTTAACATACTGGTGAACAAGAAAGCTTAATAAAGTTTCCTTTCCTAACCTTAATCTGCTGGCGTGCTGTGATTTATCAATAAAAAACGTGCTCTTATTGCGACTACATTTCGTTATTTCCGACGCAAATGGAACGCCGCCATGTTTCTTACCCAGAAGGCTTTGGGCGGGTCTAGACTTAGAACTTCGGACGACAAAGGTTTGTAGTAAACATTTTTTTGCCTTATTTTATTGTATAAAGGGATGAATAAGGTGACAATTTCGTTACATTATGCTCTAAACGCATTCAGGGACTCAGAGAGACGCTTAATAGTGCGATAATTTTCTTACAGAGGCATCAAGGAGACAGCAAAACGCATTCAACAAAAGGGGCAAAGGTACTCTATAGTGTCAACATATAGCGGGGGAAGAATGCTGTTTGATCTTTTTATAAAGTGGCAACACTTCACTATTGCTGATATATGTGACGGATAAAGGTCAATGGATGTTATATAGCGCAGATATCATCACAGCACAATGCGCGAACATGAAGACATACAAGCTGGACTTATCTACAACCAAGGAACGTCACTTCGCCGGGTTTAAAATCCTGACAACACCTCAAGAAATATTGCTGACAGGAGTTTCAACATCCATTAAGCCTAGTGAACATGTTATAGAGATTATGGCTGTGGGTTGATAAATTGTCTCTTCTTTATCATAAACGTCCATTTTATTACATGTGACATAGACAATACTGTGCATGCTGGGACGTTTATATAATACAGGCAGGCAGTAGACCGATCTTATCGCCCCGCCCAAATCCATCAAAACGTGCGAATGCAAATATCTGACAAAATGCAGCCACTCTCTGATTGGTCAAATCGTTATTACCCTTCTCTCATTGGTTGAATTGCTAATTGTGTTAGACATTCAGCATCTGTCCTGAAAATCTCAGTTAGCTCCAAATGCTTCATACAAATGGCCAAATACATACCTGTAAGAATGTTTAGACTTGTTTAGAACACATGTTTAGAACGTTAAAATCAACATGTCGATTAATTGTCATATTTGTAAGTTCATTTTGCATGTGTATCAACTTGTTTCTACATGCCTTTCATTTGCATCCACTTGTTTATAGTTATGTAAGTTCATTTGTATCTACTTTTTTATAGTTATGCAAGTTCATTTCTATCCACTTGTTTATAGTTATGTAAGTTCATTTCTATCCACTTGTTTATAGTTATGTAAGTTCATTTGTATCTACTTTTTTATAGTTATGTAAGTTCATTTGTATCTACTTTTTTATAGTTATGTAAGTTCATTTGTATCTACTTTTTTATAGTTATGTAAGTTCATTTCTATCCACTTGTTTATAGTTATGTAAGTTCATTTCTATCCACTTGTTTATAGTTATGTAAGTTCATTTCTATCCACTTGTTTATAGTTATGTAAGTTCATTTCTATCCACTTGTTTATAGTTATGTAAGTTCATTTGTATCTACTTTTTTATAGTTATGTAAGTTCATTTGTATCTACTTTTTTATAGTTATGTAAGTTCATTTCTATCCACTTGTTTATAGTTATGTAAGTTCATTTCTATCCACTTGTTTATAGTTATGTAAGTTCATTTCTATCCACTTGTTTATAGTTATGTAAGTTCATTTCTATCCACTTGTTTATAGTTATGTAAGTTCATTTCTATCCACTTGTATATGTAGTTGTTAAAGACCTTACAAAAGTTGCTGTACTTTGTTGAGTCAGTAAAGATTTCATGCACAGGTGCAGTGATATACATTCTATTAAGAGTGAACAAGCAAAACAAGATTCCTCTAGTAGTTTAGTGAACTGTCATTTCAAACCAGTACAAACACACAAGAATCCATGCCATGGTAGTCTCATTATTTCAATATCATCGCATAAATGATCCACTTTCTTTCATACATGCCATGAGACCAGAGGGCAACTCTGAGATTGCTCCGGTCACTAGACACTAATACACTCTCCACCAAGCACAGTTAATCTCCCCAAACTAATGATGTGGGTTCAAAAACAGGAAAATTTAGAATAATTGGCAAGGGGAGTTTGGTCACCTTAGAGCTCATTTGCCCATGCAGTTCTAACGAGGTGGACTGAAATTACATTTGTAATGGAAGACCCACTCCCCTGGACAGTCAGACCATATTTTTGCTGACTTCTACTATCATCCAAGAACCCTTAGAAAGGCCTTGTGGAGGGTAAAGCAAAATGCGCAAACTGTTAGCAAGTAAACAAGACACTCAGGCGCATAGCCCCCCCCCCTCTCTCCTGTAAGCAGTACAGATCACATGAAACAGACCATCTGTAGGGAGAATGAAGTCCTTATTGTGTGCTGATCAAAGCATGTGTTAGCTTTGGTATCTGCTACCTGTTAGGCCTAGGAAAACAAACTGCTGTGTTTCAAGCCACAGTCCTGAATTTTTCTTTTCTTTTTTAGATTTTGGCTAAAGGGATCCAACAAATAAAGTTTGAAGGATGTAAAACTGAAATGCATCTGATTCAGAACTTCCCCTCAGTTTGCTAACATATACTTTCTCTTGTTTACCCAATGAAAATTTCCTTCTGAAATGCGTGAAATAACATGCTGAGGTTCAGATGCCAGATTAAACATATCAAGACATATTGCACACTGGGTTTTTGTTAGGGACCGTCGGGAAACTGGAAACACAACAACTTTTTCCTAGGCCTAAGGTTGAGAAGATGAATTTGTACTGCCTTCCACAAACACTGCTACAAAAGACAACAGAAGTCTCATTAGCTGAACACAAACGTACAAAACAACATAAGATTGACCTTGAATAACAGTATAATTTTATATGTTTCTTCATGCTTTGACTTGGAAATACATATTCCAGCAGCTCAGCGGGCTAGCTTGAGCAGAAAATTACCAGACTCGTGCACCCACCTGAGGTTTGATGTATTACCTTGATAAGTTGCGTACCCTCGGGAATCTTAGCATTTATTGGCTGTTTTCCTTCAATTAAGCCCAAGGGCCCTCAAATATACAAGACAAAATTAAGAAGAGAACAGCTTCCAAGAGTACCTAAGGGTGTCGACTTCAAGCAAGATATAATAATAAAAATCGAATACACAATTCAGGGGTGCATCAGCATTTTCTGCATTTGTACAATTTTGTTTGATTGAATAAATTGATTGATTGATTAATTGATTGAAGTCTTAACTTATCCACACTTCTAAAATAATTGCCTCAAATTTTGCTTCCCCAGCGTTTTACACTGTAGCAATGTTTACATGATGGATAGTCATTTATTCATGCCAAATAAGTTCATCAACCTACATCAACCTCTTCTTGTGGGTGGCTGATGCAATAGCTCTGATGTTTTCCACTCAGATGTACGTAAACATGCCAGTGATGCAGACCAATTTTGCCGACAATAACAAGGACTTGAGATCAATACCCTGACAGGAGCTGTTATAATAGTGTAGGGCTTGTTCATTATGTTCACCTTCACAGAAGTAAATAAGGTCGATGACATGAACCAGATAGTGGACACCTCGTGGTACTAGTATTATGTAGCAAGTGGCAAGACAGAGTTGGAGGGGCTGGTCACCACGTGAATGAATGTGTTTGAGTAAGAATAAATTGACCCATAGTTTGTTTGGCCATATTTTGCCCCCAACAGTTGAGGAAAATCCTTTTCTTCCTACCTGTTACAGTTTTTCCATCTATCAATGCAGTAGTTTGATTAAAAGTTCAAAATTCATTGTTTAAATAATAACCCAGCCTTTTGTGTTGAATTCATGGCTCCTTTCATAGCATTTGGGGCTATAATAGGATGCCTAGACCTGTTTTCACTTTTATTTTTTTCACCTGCCTCTTCATATTTGCTCTGAAAAAAAAATCTGAGAACCAACAAATTGAATTGGTGTGGCCTAATACAATTAAGATTTAAATGTCAAGAATGTGCTGTAGACCAAATGAAGACCAAATTTGGTGACAATAACAAGGAGTTGGGCCAAGAGGTGATTATGCTGACAGAAGCTACAGGGCTTGTTCATTGTGTTCATCTTCCGAAGCAAATAAGGTCAATGACATGCAGCAGATGCCTGTGAAAATGATAACTAAATTAATGCTATAGCAGACACTGTGATGTTGGATTACATTATGTAGCAAGCGGTAGGACAGAGATGGAGGTGTTTGTCACCATAAGTATGAATGTGTTTGAGTAAGAAAGAATAAACAGAGCAGTAGTTGGTTAGGCTAGGCCATCCCCATGTAAAAGTAAACATTATGCATTTGCTTTACATATGTTACTTTTCTAGTGTAACAAAGGTGCATTTTGAACCCAGCATTTCCTGTCATAGATAATACATGGAGAATCTCCCCAACACAAGACTGTTATGTGGAATAACCCTTTCATTCCGTATGTGTGGGTTGACATACGTTAATTATTACCCCCTGTAAGGTGAAGACTATGACTGCTGCAGCATGCTGTGAAAGCTGTTGTGTGATACAGTGATCTCTAATTGGCACACAGACACCAGGTATTATTGAGGAATTAATCACTGCTTTATCTCATTAAATGGAGATATCAACCATCATCAATCACTTTTTATTTCATTATTACCTCCAAACTGACATGTTCTTAACAACAACCTTCTGTTGGTTAGTTTCTTACCACCTGAAAAACAGATCAATGGATCTGAGGTATGCCCTGGTAAAATAAATAAACTTGAAACTTGAAGATAAAATTGTTTTTGAATTATGGTTTTTGGCTCGATTTAGGCCTTGATCCAAGGGACAATTGTGGGGAATTTTAAATGTTGCAGTACCATAGAGAGCAGTTAGGGGCCCTTATTGAAACAAGTCCTTTGTTGTGTATACGTCTGTCATACTGTATACTAGATATCATCAATAGAGATCCTTCCACAATTTCTCAAGTTATGATGTCCAGAAACATTCCCACACACAAAATAATAAAACTGTATAAAACTGTATTCTGAAGTTAAGTAAGGGCTTCACACCCAAACCTTCAAAAGGAAGAAATAATGCAGAAAAACATTGCACGTGTCACATTCTACAGGAGTGTGGGAATCGTGGGAAGGGGATGACATCACGGATGTGGGGAACTCCCAGAATGCACTGCAGGTACCGCTCAAAACCCATCCCAAAGCCTCCGTGTGGAACAGAGCCGTATCTTCTCAGGTCCAGGTACCTGGGACAGACAAAAAGAGTCATGAACCTTACTATGTTCTTGATTCTGAATTATAACGGCAGTGAACCTTAATCCGACACTTTTATGCACAAGCAAGATTGAATGATGAATCCACAACCAGACATTCGGTATTTTCGTTAATCATTTAGTGCATCTTGTAGCCTGTTTTTAACGCCATACCTACGTGTGTGTCACTCTCCCAACCATTGAGATATCGCGGGAAAATTGCGTCTTCAACATCGCTCCCGATTTCACCGTGCCCTGCGTATTCTGTTCTAAGCGAAACCTTAATCCGACGCCATGCAACAGTGTAGCTGTTTGCCTGTAATTTTGCTATTCACAACAACATTTTTTTCTCAATCCCTTTGTCAAACAACAGACACTTATACAAGTTATCAACGGCATCAAAAGTAAGTCGGTAGGCCGGTGCACCGCGGTGCAGCGCTACACCAAATCACGTGGCTTGGGACTATTGAATTTACAAAGAAGGGGACCGCATTCGAATCAGTTACGGCGGGGCATTTTAGTTCCAAGAAAGGAATAATTGAAGAATTTTACAATAATGTTACCAGTCAAAAAACTTAATTCTGCACTATTCTGAAGTATTTGTCACTAATTTTGGCGATAATACAAGCGTTGCGATGATTTGCCACATCCACGTACAGACTAGTGGTATCGTCTTCAACAACAACAACAAGTACATTTCGGATTCAAAATGGCGGTCGTGTTCGATAGGCCGCTGAATGACCATAACGAACTCGCTCTGTGCTTAAAAAGAAGGACACTTCTAGGCAAGTGCTTTGTCAGCAACACACACCTTATTAATTGTTTTTTTATTCGCTGTGACGTTGAATGTATAGCATGAGGATGTAAAGGAGAAATTGTCGATGTTTTGACCACTGTCCTTCCGGAAGCTTCCTCCCACGACATGCCTACCAGTGTAAAACAGGCTGAAAATTTTCATGACCTCGTCTCCACAACATGTTGACTTCGTTAGCTCACTGTTTCAAGTTTTTAGGCTGTGTACCTTATTGAGTTTGTAAAGCAATTAAAAGATTTTGCATATCAGTGCTAGATCCTAACAGACAGAGGAGTGTTGAAAAGTGTCGGATTAAGGTTGCGTCGGATTAAGGTTCACTGCCGTTACATCATCACTTGAATCCTCATGATTATTCTCCAGAAATGATTTCATCAGGTTGGTAGAACATAGGACATTGGAGTTACACAACCAGTAATGTCTCTCACCTACTTATTTTTTCATGCCTATCAGACATGTTCCTTAGAGCTTCTAACTGAAGTACTGCCAATTAGCCATTGTTGGGATTGTGTTCTCGCGACAAAAGTATCACCTATGCAGTTACCACCTTCATAGTTATCTACAAATGTATTTCACAGTGTAGCAATGGAATGAAAAAATTCTCACCATTGGTAGCTGTTGGACAAGCCTAGCCTGGTGGAGGAAAAAAGAAATCACATAAGTGCTATAAGTGCTAGTCATCATGGGTAGGCTGTTCTGTTTTTGTTTGTATACTTGTTTGTTTAATAAAGACTGACCAACAAAAGAGATTGTTCTCACCTAAAGCTTTCGACCAGTCACTCTGGTCTTCTTCACTGACCCAATAAGACTTGCCACATGGCTTCTCTGAAGTGTGACACCAACACTGGGTCAAGGGTATCTGGTTATAATGTCGCCCCCCTCCCCCCGATCTACAGTATGTGGAATATGAAGGTCATGACCTTGGTGCTGAAGTTTGCTATGCTGTCAACCTGGCTGCCACCTACAACGTCTGTCAAGTCCACAGCTTTGACTAACTTCCTGGCATTTTCTATAGACATCCATTCAATAAGCAGGGCTTGAAATCATCTTTTCTGCATACCTCCACAGGTGCAGGCAACATTTTTCTTGACAGTGTTGCTCAATCATGCAAAGCTAAATGACCATTCTAGGCAATGAGCTTGGTGATATGACAGACGTATGACTGTGCAAAAGACTCCTCAATGTTTGTTTTGAAAGCTTGAGGATTGTATTTAGAAGGAAAACATGTGTTTGTGAGGGAGTTCCATAAACATTAAATATTACCAAATTTTACCTGCACCACTCAGGATTTGGATATGGTATTAGTATGGATCATGCTAAAAACTGTTCATAAACCATTGCCATTATTTCTTTCACACTTCATATAGGTGGTGAGTCATAGAAAGACATACATTATATACCTTGTTATTCATCCACATCCATAGATTTCCACAGATATACATTTTGTAACTGCATCTTTAGCTTGAGGCAGAGTAGCACACCAGGAGTTCTATTGGACCAGCTGGGCAATAAATCAATTTCCTGTGTCACATTTCCGATCTATCTTAACGTTAATACATGACGTGAAAGGAATGGGGCTAGAAGGGATCACAGTAGCAGGTGTGCAGAAGAACTAAAAGCACCAGTGACACTGGAGAAGAGACTATGATGAATGTCACTTGAGATGTCCGGAAGTAATCTCTGTACTTTATCCTGTGGTTGAGTTTTAGCTAAAAGCATGTTTCACGTTACCCGACCTCAGTCACTGCTTTTAAAGCTCTCTGTCTTTGGTGGGTCATTGGGAAGCTTATAGTCGTAGGGCTAATGGTACGTCCCAAAGGTCATTGACTCCTGAGTGGTTTTTGCATGTTTCAGAATACTGTATGTACATGTAGAATATGGACGTTTTCCACTCAGATATATATATTGTACATGTAAATAAACATGCCAATGATGAAGACCAAATTTGGCAACAATAACAAGGAGTTGGGCCAAGAGATCTTTACACTGACAAGTGCTATTATGATAGTATAGGGCTTGTTCATTATATTTACCTTTACACGGAAGCAAATAAGGTGAATGCCATGGACCAGATGCTTGTCAGCATGGTAACTGGTGGTATAGCACACACCATGGGGATTACATTATGTAGCAAGTGGCAGGACAGAGCTTAGTTGCTGGGCTTAGGTACCAGAGCTCACACCTAAACAATTGAACAGATGCTAGAATAAGGAAAGAGTCAATAAACAATGCCATAGCTTTCAAGGACATTTGAGATTTGAAGCTTAGTTGTAACACTTATGGCCACCTAGGTCACTGACTCCTTCTTGAGTGGTTTCTGTGTTGCTTCAAAATATGCAATGTTAGAATGTGGAGTCTTTGGGCATAGGTTCAAAGGTTCACACTCAAACATTTAAACAAATGGTAAAATAAGGAAACAATCAATAAACATGCCATAGCTTTCATGGAAATTTGGGACTCTGAAGCTTGGTTGTAGCACTAATGGCCCTCAAGGTAACTTCTAAGTGGTTTCAGAATAAATGTGTTAAACATGGTGTCTTTAGCCGCTGTGCAAAGGTACAAAAGTTCACACTTGACCTAACAATTGCTAAAATAAGAAATCAATGAAAAATTCCATAGCTTTCATGGACAATTGGGACTTTGAAGTTAAGTTGTAGCAGTACATGTATATTTGTATGTTGGCAGAATGTACTGCGCCTGCACGAAACCCAGATTTTTACCGTTTTTGTTGGAACACAGCATTTGAAAACTACAGACGGAATCCTTAAGTATGCCAAACAACCTCAAAATGAGATGAGTGCTATGCACAATACATTACAGGTTTTGTGCAGGTGCAGTATGTTCTGATGACGTGCTAGCTGTAGCACTAATGGCCCCCATCTGTAACCTTACACACCAGAAGGCATTAGTTGTCCTTGAGTATGGAATATCAGAGAGATTGGAATCAACTGGATGTCTACCGACCACCACCGAGTGGAATGAGTACTGTAAATTCATTTATTTTTGCAGGGACTTACTTCCAAGTTGCTACAATTTTGTTAACACAGTATATTTTGAAAGCATCTTTGCAGCGTCATGAATTCGCAGTGGAGAGATCACCACAAATATAAAACTACTGTGAACATTTCAAGAAATACATGTAGGAAGTATGAAGGTCATGACCTTGGTGCTGAAGTCTGGTTACTGTTAACATGGCTGCCACTTACCCTGTTTGTCATATCCAGGGCTCTGATTTAATTCCTGGCATTTTCTATTGATAAACATCCATTTGTAAGCCATGATGAAGAACACACAGCTTTTAAAGAGCCCCTTTTCCTCAAGACAGCAGTTGTAGAGTGTCCAAAATTGATTCACAAGTTCATAATTGGAATATGATACAAGAAGAATAAGTACGATTTAGAAGACAACAAAATGTTAAAAGAATTGTTCTCTTTTTGAAATTCTTTGATCAACTTGCCAATCTTTGATTGCTCAGCATTAACTTGGCAGTAAACACAAGGGAAAGGGGATGTTGCCAAAAGGGTGGGTGTTTTACCCTGATACACAATTTAAATCAATGTTGGCCTGAGGAATCTCCAAGTAGATGCTAGGAGGGCCCACTATCAGAAAAATGAGGCTGTCAGAAGATGTTATTATCTCCCCTTCCAATACCTGTCTGGATATCACATCCCCAGAGGAAGACAATCTGTCAGCATTCGGGCACTTTTCTTTATCGCTGAGCCGTGGCGTGTAACAGCCCTGTCCTGAAGGCATCCAAACCATTTTCAGGGTTCTAAAGTGGAAATATTCTGAATAAGGCAATCTATATGATGTTGACACATACTGTCCCACATTAGCATGATGAGTGCGCTCGAGTGTAAGCGAACTACACCAGACACTGGGTTGGAGACCACTAGAGGAAAGGAGGACCCACCATACCTGCACAATGGTCTACAAGTGTCTACATGGACTTGCACCTGATTACCTACTACACTGTTTCAGCTACAACCACCAAACACATCAGTACAACACAAGACAAGCGAATCTACTGCGTAAACCCAAATACACAAACAGAACTGGACAGAGAACATTTAAATACAGAGCAGCTTCAGCCTATAACTCGCTTAACACGGTAACTAAACAGGCATCAACAATAAATGCCTTTAAAGTAGCGCTAAGAACATATGACCTCTGACCCTGACCTCAAGGACAACCGACTGTCATTATTTGACAATACGACTATGCTTAACGATTTTGACTATTTGTTTTGTTTGTTCCGTTGTGTTTGTATGATTGATTTATTTGTACCCTCTGTTTATATTATTTATTGTCATTTGCCACGATTGATCATTTGATTAATCTGTTTTATTTTGTTTAATTTTATTGTATTCCATGTTGTCCAATGTGTATGTTCTGTTGGGCTACCTTGGAAATCAGTCTTTCAGAGACTGAAGGTACCACCCAACTGTTTTTAAGAGCAATAAATAAATAAATAAGCACATTTTCATCATTAGGCCACACCAATTTAATTTGTTGGTTCTCGGATTCGCCTCTTCGTTTTTTTCTGATTTGCAAAAAAAAAAAATTGATTCTGGTCCTGAATCAACTGAAAAATGCTCATGTTTTGCCCCCCAACAGTTGAGGAAAGTCCTTTTCTTCCTATAGTTGTTACAGTTTTCCCATCTATCATTGCAGTGGTTTGATTAAAAGTTCAAAATTCAATGTTTAAATTTTAACCCAGCCTTTTGTGTTGACTTCATCGCTTATTTTGTAGCATTTAAGCCTATAATAGGATGCCTAGACCTGTTTTTATTTTATTTTTTTTCGCCCTGTCGCTTCATATTTTTTCTGAAAAAATCTGAGAACCAACAAATTAAATTGGTGTGGCCTTATTTCATGATTTGGACATTTAGAACATCGCAGAAACAGGCCCCAAGATGAGTCCTTTATTTTCTGGGAACCACTCCATATATCAGCTTAGGATCCTACCAGTAACTGTTTTCTGTTGACAATTTTAGGATATATTCTGATCACACTCACTCACTCACTGTCTGGTTTATCGTCTGTTCTTTTATCTTTATCTTTATCACGTGACACCATAACTTGCACGAACTTGGAATAAAGATTATGTGATTGAATTTTTGGGGGCGTTTGTGTCTCATTGGTCAGGTTTATGCCTTTAATATCATATTATTAATAGCTTTCTATGTTTAACTGTTTTGTAAGTGATAGATTTAGTGGAAGTAGCTTTACATATTTAACTATGCTGTCTACAATAGATTTAGTACCCCCAGTATGTAGCAATAATATCATATGCCTATGCTCTGTCTCCCCCTTGTTTACTACCAACACTAGAAGTAATGATTTTACCTTTTGACTCTGTTCCAAGATAACTACTGCATTTAGACCCTTTTGGCAAGAACATGCAATACCGACAATCAATCAACCGCAAGCATCATGGCAGATGCATGTTGCATGCAATAATGACCATTCAGGTTAATGTCTGGCCATGTAAGAAGTCTACATGTACGTACAGAAGCTTAGGAGGCACCTAATACATGATATCTGGTTGCACAGTCCACAAGTAATACTCCATTATCTGTGATCCCACTGAAGGAGTAATGGTTCTCTGCTATTAGTCTGTATCATCCCTG